AATGCCTCCAGCCAAAGATCTTTTCCCAACAGTTTGGATTCATGGGATATTAAAGAATTTGGACTGCATTCATAAGCAAGGTGAAGTCGGCCGTTGATGTAAAGCGTTAGTGGATCCACGTGAGACCATACTTGCTCCAGCAATTCAAATGGGAGGGTGTCCAACAGATTCTGAAGCCCTGAACTTGTCATCACCACTGTGCTTGAATTGCCTTGACAAGTTAACATTTTTGGGGTCTCCATCTTTTCAGCGTGAAAAACGGCGCGAGGATGATCCCAAGGCAATCTGAACCAAACGCAACAACGCATAACTTTTATTCACGGCAATAAACAAGCACTAGAAAAGAGAATACAACAGTCTATCTCCTCAGACGAACAAACAACGCGTTTTTACATTGACGCGAATCCTCGGGCAAATACTTATCATAAAAGTTGATGATAAATTGCTCCGCTTTAAACCCAAAACTCTGGTAAAGAATCTACACCAATGAGAAAGAAAAGGCATCAGAAAAACCCACACCTCCCTGTGTTCCAAATCACACTATCGAACTCACCAATGCATTATTATTTGCAGAAACATGCAGAGTCACATCTTTTCCTGGCACCGACTTTAACCAGGGCAATGATTAATATATGCTTGACAAAGGAATGGGAAGATGTGGAGAACTTACTTGAATAAGATGATGTAACATAAACCTTGCAATACCAGATTTCTCCCACCCAGGCCTCACCATAACATAAGTAATATACCCTTCAGGAGTCATAAACGCACATCCAACAACCAATCGTTTGTAAAGCGCAACAATGCTAAAGTCGGGATATGACAAGTTTTCCGAAACTACAGGTAGCCAAAAAAAAGGATTAAAATAAGTAACTCTGCAATTAAACATGGACAAAAACAAGAGGTGTACGAACTCACCATCAATCCCCTCCCAAAACTGTCTCGCCAAAGCCTCATTGACCTGCTTCAAATGCATCGGCTGAAAATAAACAAAATCAATTGAACCCATCGTACCAACACTTTGACTCTCATTCTCATTTTCATTCCTCCGTCTAGACAGAATAGATTCAAGAACAACCTTGGCAGGTGGATCCGCATCAAAGTCACGCCATATATATGCTGGAAGGGCTTTTCCCGTGAATGGAGATATGAAAGGTCCGCGTGTTGTTAAAGTGTTGGATAAGTGTGGGTCACCAGTTAATCGACGGAGGAAAGAGGAATCGTCAGGCACTTTTTCCAGTCGCAATTTTGCGACAGCCTAGGTATCAACACCAATTACCAAATCAGATTAACACCAGTAAAGATAAACATTACAATCAATACACATACCTCTATCCTCTCCCGGATACACTTATCCACAGCATTCTCTCCCTCCGACAAAATAACAGCATCCTTCCCATCTTCACTAAGTTTATACCGTCTGCCATCATCCCTGAAATCACCCATTGGAACCAACCCCTGACAAGTGAGACTAGAACCCGAATCCTTCAAACTCCTAGCTACAAAGGCATCCAAATCAAAAATCGGGCATTTATATGCTCTTTTAATTCTTTGCAGGAGGAGTCGTCGACGAAGACGCGCAGCAACGGGGTGAATTTGACTTGACGATTCAAGTTGATGTGCCAGCGCGAAGGATTCTTCAGCTGTCAGTGGTACTAATCCACCTTTCTGGGTCGGTGCTGGTGGTGGTTTCTATAAAGCAAGAATCTCACGTGAGATTTCCTTGTCAACAAACTTGCAAATGAATTCACTCGATATAGTGAAATAAACTTACGGGATGACGGACAGCTGATTCCGTAGCGAGACGTTTCCCGACAGCCGGCCGTGCTTGCTGCTGCTCATGTCCAGCACGAGTAGGAGCCACTCCCATCATTGGGTCAGGGATTGAACCTGGCACCGACTTCATTCTACTAACACTGTTTAAATCCGGCGTCACTTCCACAGGGCTTATTTTAGCTAAAGAAGAGTAAACAGCAACAGTGGGAAAATGTGAGTATTTCTGATACTACCAGTAATCACCCATTTTTTATTTTTTTGTTTTTTTACTTACTCATACTCTCTCGGCGTTCCGTCAACGTTTTCGGTAAATCAACATCCTCATTCATCCAAGCCGGCAATCGTCTCTTGCGCGTCGTCTTTCGCGTAGATCCAGAATCCGCAGAAACGTCCCCAGAAAGTGGCAAAGCAGGAATCACTGGTGTGACAGGAGTCTAGTTTATCAAAAAAGATCTCATTAGTAAAAAATGTAAATATCGCATGGCGATGATACTCACTGGAGTCATCGTAACAGCAGAAGCAGAAGCAGCAGCAGCAGCCGCTGCCTTCCCTTTCGACTTCTTTGGTGCAGGGTTCACAACAGGAGTTGGTGTTGCCATTATTGGTGCAGTTATTTTCCCACTAGCAGTAGAAGAACCAGCACGCGCTTTATAATCCTCATCCGCCTCATCATCCAACGCATCAATAATAGATTGAATAGTTTGAGCATCAAGTTCGCCCTCTTCCAATTTGAATGGTTGCTGTATTTTCATTCAATGATGACAATGATGTTGAGTAATGAGTATTCGTTATGTGAGAAACTTCGACTCAAAAACACACACAAAGCAACACCAAACTTACCACGCCAGCGGGTGGCGCTGTAACAGCAGTAGCTGTTTTCGACCGCGAAGATTTTGATCTCGACGAGTCACTTCTTGCAGGAGACGATTTTTGCTGCATTAAGAATTAGCATTCATTCATAAAGTATATTTGTTACAAGGTAACTCACAGGTCCATCTTTAACTTTTGGAGAATGCTGTGCGGAAGGTGTCCTTGCAATAGCACCTTCAGGCGGTGGTTCAATTTCACGAAGCGTCCACCACCCTAAATTTACCAAACAAGCGCGAATAAATAAAAGATCTTGGTAAACGACGACATCTAAAACCAAAAAGGAATTCACCTTGCGAGTTATAGATATCCGATCCAGATCGAAACACCTTATTGTGTGTAGATAACGCGCTAGCAACAGTGTTATACCATGTTGGTGTTCCTAATAGGAAAGGCAAAAAACAAACAGGAAGCCTGTGTTTAGTAAAACAGCCCAAAGACAAAAACAAAGAATATTTTTAAAAAGTTATAATCAATACTCACGTTGCTTTCCCGGCGTCAAATACTCCCAATTCCTATCAATAAAAGCACATATATCTTCCTTCCATCTAAAAAACTGTTGGGAAGATGGGCTCGTTTTGATCAAATTATAAATAACAAGATGAACCAACGTGACCCTAAAAGCACCAGGATTCATTAGACGCGAGGAAGAAAAGTAGGTGACTGAAAAAATGCAGTATCAAACAACAAAACATACCATTTCAACGGTAGCCTTACACATTCCTGTTTCCCATTCCCACAAACAGAACATTGAAACGTGTGATAAGAATCCCCCCAAATCAATGGAATCAATAGACATCCAACGCAACCTTTTGTTTGACGGCCATTGTTAACATTAGTTTCATTATCAATCAGCGAAAAGTGACGTCCCGTTCCACCAAATCGTAACTGCATATGTAATGTAAACGTACCCGAATGGAAATACTGTCGACAGGTATGACATCGAATCATTGGTTCTTCTCTAGTTTTTGAAAAGAGCAGGGTTGGTCGTATGTCACATGTCAAGTGAAAGTGATGCATGATAAAAACTTACTTTGGTGAAGGTTCCCTCCCACAATAACAGTAAACTCCTTGCTCATTTTCCCCATCCGCAGTCCATCTCAAGCCTGTGATCTTTAAAAAAGAAGTATTTGCCAGTTAGTAGCCGATTCTGTGGCCGAGCAAACTAGCAAGGCAAAAAACAAACGAATTCTTTCGTCTGGGTTCCATAGGAACACTTGGCAGCATCACAACATGACATGATCAAAGAAACAGCTTTCATTATAAGATATCAAGATGACCGGAAATTTGAATCAATGTTGTCCCATTGTTCATTGCAAACTCTGTAAATCCTTGCCCAACCTCAATGCATACAATGATATTGTCCAGCACAATATACTCTCACAATATGGATCCTAACATCAGTTACTTTCTCAATCGACTATTCACAGGCAACATGTTGCCTCTTTTCTTATATTCTCGTTAGGTTTTGTTCACTTCTTTCATCAACT